AGAAGATAACATATACTCCATTAGAAAAAGAAAATGGAAAAGGAAGATACAATCAGAAACAAGTTCTCCGCTGTACCGTATTCCTTTTTACATGTTAACTGATTTTGCTATTCTCCTGATAGGACTGAGCTCTCATTCAAGCTCCATGACTAAGTATTTCAGTCTTTAATGCATGTATGTATTTATCTTCCTATGGCCTCATGAGTAGTCTCACCTCATATTATTTCAGGACGGAGGTTTCACATCGGGAGTATTCGAGGTGTGAATGTTATATACGCATTGACAGGACAACGCAGGGTACTAAAACCTGAACTTCTGCATTTATCACTCCTGCTGTTATATGGAGGAGCTCCTTTTCATTTATAAAAGGAAATCAAGGAAAAAAAATACTTGTAGGCAGTAAAGCAACATCGTAGGAATTCAAATACGAATTGTACTATGCTTACCCGTAACCACTGTTTCTTTGTTATTCCAGTTGAATGCAGCTGTCACTGTACAAACTCTCCTCGATGTCTTTACCGTGTCTGGTATTGTCCATTATGGCACAGCAGGCAGCTCTAATGATTCAATGTCATTTGGAGATGTCAGTGTCCCCAAGTTAGTTGCTTATACAGGCGCTTGGACATGGAAGGTACCCTCCTACTGTAATTAGCTTTAATTCCCCATTTCATGTTGCAATACTGGTGAGTGCAGAACTGCAGATACAGATAAAAACTGGAATCTGGTCATCTTTAAATCCAGTTTCCTTGCGAGGACACAAAATTTATTGCGCTGAGATAAAATATAAGTTAATTAGTTCAAAGAAGAAGAAACCAAGTAAATAGTTCTTCTAAAAGCATATGTGCAGTTTAAACTGTGTGGTACACTAAAACAAGGGGAATCACACTAGTAGAATGTAAACACATCTGGACTCCAAAGAGAAGATAATTTAAGAACCACACATCATTAGAATTTAGAAGATAATTTACCATCAACCATCTCACATTTGAACTCACTACTTAACAAGACCTCTGGTATTTTGATTTTGATTTTTCCAGAAGTACAAATCACTTAAAGAAGAGTCAACAGAACTAAACTTTGGACAATTTAACGTCCCGAATGGAGGAGAGAACCTGCTAGGGTCTCTGAAATACAGAAATGAGGAGCTATACTCAGTTGGCAAGCCCATGGAAGAAGTTTTCTGGTTACCTGTAGATTCAGCATGGTTCAAAATAGCAGAAGGACTTAAGGTGAGAGATACCACTATATTTCAGCTGTATAGCAAGTACAGGCTTATGCATAGAAACACAGCCTAAAATTTGTACTACTTGTAAATTTCTGTAGGTCAACCTTGAAAGGTGTAATGATACTTTTTGTTTACCTAAAACGCCACAAGTGGTTCATGGGCTAAAAGGAGCATCAGCTGACATGTTTCTAGACAATGCAGAATACCGGAAGTTCCTTTTCAGAGAATTTGCAGTGTCAACAATAGATGAGGAAAGCGCAGCAGTGGTGATGGTGGGTTCCATATCTTATCTCTCATAGTCTTTACTTAAATATATGTGGCAACATTTGCGCTCCACAATATCGACTCAATCATAAAATCTAAGATATCACTAATTAAGTGCACTTAATATTTCAACAGACAACAACATCTCCTGGCGTACCTGTGATTGTGTTCCGGGGAGTATCGGATCTGGCTGGAGGGGAACCAACATGGTCATCAACAAGCCTGATGAACCTGGCATCTATTAATGCACTCAAAGTGGCAGTGGAGTTCATTGCTACAATTGGCAGGCAGATGTCAACACCATCAGCACAAAGTTCAAAAAACTGAAGCAAAAGAGAGCTGTTATGTCCATGGAGCAGAACAGTAGAATAGTTTTAAACAGCAATTGGAAACTAAAATCAGACTGAGAAGTGATCCTTAGCTTCGAAGTACACAAAACTTTCAACGGAAGAATTAAGTATTCAATGTATACTCAATTGTAAACATGGATATGTCAATCCATTTTTAATGGGATTTTGGGATAATGCGGGAACAAAATGGTGAATAAAAGACAGAATGTTGTTACAGTCCTTGATTTTCATTACAGAATACAAGATGTTGTTACATAATCATCTCACAGTCTCAAGTATGCAAAATGGTAAGACTAAGTGTTTATTAGTTATCAACAGTTTGCACTCATCATGTACATCATCTGATTCCAGACAAGAATAAAATAGAAGTGTTTTCTGTGGTCAACAACTTCCATGTGCACTATTTCAAATGAAGGTAGAAACATCATAATTGTTAAATGCGTTACAATACCAATGTAAATGGACTGGATCTACAGAATGTTCGCTGAGAAGGTTAGATGACCATAAGAGGCTAAGAGCTGCCTGGTGCTTCAGAATTTTAGCCATGATGCCAATAGAAAAGGCACCTGCTAGACCCGTGACAAAGTATGGCAAGGTAATTCAGATCTCAAATTGTGATCTGAAATTATGGTCACACAAAAGTGTGCCACAAATAAAACTTAGCGGCTGCCTTAATATATCTTCCAATTAGTTTAGTCCACATTATAGTCCGAATTCATAGGCTTACTTGTATAGTAGCTGTGCGAAGTTTTATCATCTCAAAATCCATATTCAGACTGCCTTCAACACTTCACTACCAGTAGTCTCCACATGAACATTTACCATCCTTAAAATGGTGAAATCGTTGAATATCTCTCATGATTATTTCCCGTCCTGTCACCAGAGATATTAACTTGGTTGCATTGTGACAGTCGTTACAGACGCGGAGGTTCTTCTTTATCTGAATTGTTGTACCAGGGGATGTGCGGATGAGTCCATATGCAATGGCAAGTTTCTCGCTGTGGGTGTTGAGTAACTGTGCCTTGACATCATCTTCTACATCATGTATAGAATCAGTGTCCGGCATATACCCCACAGCTTTGATCTCTTCTATTAGCTTAGCCAACCTTGCATAAATGTCCTTTGCCTGCTGGTGATTTGTGCTTCCAGAATAGAAGGTATGAATCTCATTCTTGAGCTGCACAATACTCCATCCAGGAGTCTTTTGGAGGCCTTTCTTCTCCATAGCAGTTCTAACCCTTGCAACATCCTTCCACATTGAAGCATTTGCATAAATGTTAGCTAGGAGGACATGATACACACCTTCATCTGGCCCTAGCTCAAAGATCCTCTGCGCTGATTCTTCTGCCAATTCCACATTCTTGTGCAACTTGCAAGCGCCTAACATTGCACCGTAAACACTAATGCCAGGATCCGTAGGCATCTTTTGGATAAAAGACCATGCTTCATCTAGCTTCCCAGCTCGGCCAAGAAGATCCACGATGGTACCATAGTGCTCCATCCCAGGTTCAAGCCCATAGTCCTCCTTCATGCTCGAAAAATATTTCCGCCCTTCATCAACCAAACCAGCATGACTGCATGCCGAGAGGACCGAAAGGAATGTCGTCTCGTTGGGCACTCTGCCAGAACTTTTCATCTCTTCAAACAGCTCAACTGCAACCTTGCCAAAACCATGTGAGCCGTACCCATGGATCATCGCATTCCATGTGATAACATGCCTCTCCCTTGCTGAGTTGAAGAGACTTCTAGCTATACTGACACGGCCGCATTTTGCGTACATGTCAATAAGGGCTGTCAGAACATACACATCCTGATCTAGGTGCATCCTGATAGAGTAACCATGGATCCATCTTGCCTGCAGTGGATCTGAGATGTCGGCAAGTGCAGGAATGACACTGACGAGAGTGAACGAATCAGGCTTCACATTTTTCAGCTGCATCCTAGAGAAGAGCCTGACTGCATCTTCTGACCTTCCATTCTGTGTGCACCCGAGGATCATGGCGTTCCAGGAGATCCGTGTCTTGTAGCGCACCTCATCGAAAACCTGGGCAGCGAGGTCGGTCCTCTTGCACTTGGAGTACATGGTGATCAGCGCATTCATCACCGACACATTTGACTCCAGCCCAATTCTCATGAGTAGCTCATGGACACGTCTCCCCTCATCAAGATACCCAAGCTCACCACAGGCGTGCAATGCTGCCAGCACAGATACATCCGTCACATCAACGCCCTCCCCCACCATCCTCTTGAACAGCGCGAGAGCCTCAGTAGCATCCCCATTCTCAGCATACCCCTTGATCATGGCATTCCAAGAAACAGAGTTCTTATCCGGCATCCGATCAAAGACAGCCCTGGCAACCTCAACCGCCCCGCACTTGCAGTACACGTCAAGGATCGCCGTGGAGACATTGACGAGCTCGTCGAAGCCAGCGCGGACCGCGAACCCGTGCACCTCGCGGCAGGCCCCGAGCGCCTGGGCGTCGGCGCAGGCGGGCAGCACAGACACGAGCGTGACGGAGTCGGGCCGCTCCCCGTCCTCCTCCTGCATCCGGATGACCATCTCCATGGCGGCCCCGGCGAGCCCGTTCCGCGCGTACCCGGCCACGAGCGCGTTCCAGGCGACGCGGTCCCGCACGGGCATACGGTCGAACACCCTGCGCGCGTCGCCCGGCCGGCGGCACTTGGCGTACATGTTGGCCAGCGCCGTGGCGGCGAGGGACTCCGCGGAGAGCCCCCGCGCGGCGAGCTGCGCGTGGACGGCGCGGCCGGTCGCGAGGTCGGCGCGCGCCGCGCAGAGCTTGAGGAGGGAAGTGAAGGTGCGGAGGACGGGGCTGGCGGACGCGGAGGTGGACATGGCGGCGAAGGCGGCGAGCGCGCCCGGCAGGTCGGAGCGCGCGGCCGCGGACCTCAGGCGCGCGTGGTGGTCGGCGGCGGCATGCCCGCCGGCGGGAGGAGGCGGCGACGAGGCCGAGCACAGCATGTCCTCTTGTATTCCTTTTTTTTCTCGGAGTTATCCCGTCACAACCTCTCAGTCACATGGCAGCTAAGCATCCGCACGAATCTTCAAGTTATTCCGCACGAATCTCTAGGTTTCCCCCATGTCTATTTTAAAATGTTCGGTGTCTCAATGCCTCTTTTTTTTCTATTTCTTCTTTCTTCATTTGCATTGTTGTTTTTTGTCTTTTTTGCGGCAGTGTAGGAGAATTTTTCGTGTGGTATATAAATTGTGGTGGTGAAACTAAATGACTCACAGAACAATTAGAGAACCCATTTGACCGATGTTCGTGTTATTTGTGTAAGTCATACAAATACGTGGTTGGTGAGAATATTCATCTCATGTCGATTTTATAAAATGTTTTTTTTTCAAGATCCAATGCGATGAGATGAAGAGCAAGAGGATGCCTTTTATTTTATGCTTGGCCCAAACTTATGCTTGTCATTTCAAATTGGAGAGCCAACTCACTTAGTTATATGTTGATTAGTTACTATACTTTGGCGAGCATCTCTACCGCGAGAGCATGTGTTAACAGTTGAGCGTGGGGGGTGTATCTTATGGGCAAAGCTTGAGGTGAAAAGTGAAGGTGCAGAGGAAGGTCGGAATATGCAAACGCAATTTTTAGGCATGCGAGGTGATCGATGGCAACATGCCTGCTAGCAGGAGGAGACATCAATGAGGCCAAGCAAATCATCCCACCCACCCGCACACTTTTCCTTTGCAAGCGCGTGTCTTCATATTTTAAAACCTTTTTATTTTCCGACAAGTTGTCCGTGCGTGTTTTCTCATGTGGTCTATGTGTGTCTATAACATCAATGAAATCAATGTGGCAAGGCAACCCTAAAAAGGCATCTCATAGTTCAATCCCAAGAGAAAATTGCAACGGTAAGTAAGCATGCGAAAGGTCCATACTACACGTCCAGAAGTCATTGTGCATCTTTTTGCCACACGGATGTCATTGCTTCCGGTTGCCTGACTTGACAAGGTTCTATGCTGATTTTGGGAGAGTATAAAATGATCTCATGCCGGAGCAACACATATTAGAGTACAACATGCTTAATGCACTCGAAGTGTTCCCTTCCTGGTGTCTCCTATTCTCAAGCTACCTATTCTCTTATCAGTATTTATTTTCTTCTTTCTTGCATCATTTCTTCTGATGATTGGTGTAGGAGAAGGTTACTTACGACGATACTCAATAATGCGAGGAGTTTGAAGAACACACAATCGACAGATGGTCGTGTATATGTACACGTGTACATTAATTGTTAGCCATGTAAAGCATTGTTGGTGAAATTTTTATGTACGTCTTCATCAAAAGTTTCCACTTCCAAGCTATTTTAAGCATTGTCTAGACTTATACTGATAGTTTTAATTTGTTGAGCCAACTCATAAATGGAGTTGCTCTAGACACCACTGGCACGGGCCCTAGACACCTAAATGCTCAAAGGAGAGAAAATAGAGATGCCCCTTAGAAGCACTTGCAAAAGTTGGTAGCCTAGAAAGGTGGTTCGGTTCAATAATGATATCCTAATATGAACATTCTATTGAACTGGGATTGATGAAGCAAAGATCAATATTTTGTGGAACACAAATCGAAGAAGACCAACTAAAAGATCACACTACCATAGAAGGGGTACCTCTCAAAGACCAAAAGACGACATACTCTTCAAACCAACCATGGATTGCTCACCGAAGAGACTGCCGGTCCGGAATTCAGTTGACTCTGTGACAAATATGATGATCTCCGAGGCTTAATATTCACAACTAGACCACCACCAATCCAGAGATTGAGAATCAAACGAA